AGGACACTACATAATGATCAAGGGATCAATCCAAGAGGAAGATAAAACAATTGTAAATATTTATGCACCCAACATAGGAGTACCTCAATACATAAGGCAAATGCTAACGACAGTAACACAATCATAGTAGGGAACTTTAACACCCCACTTTCACCAATGGACAAATCACACAAAATGAAAATAAATAAAGAAACACAAGCTTTAAATGATACATTTTAAAAGAAGGACTTAAATGATATTTATAGGACATTCCATCCAAAAACAACAGAATACACATTCTTCACAAGTGCTCATGGAACATTCTCCAGGATAGACCATATCTTGAGTCATAAATCAAGCCTCAGTAAATTTAAGAAAATTGAAATTATATCAAGTATCTTTTCCAACCACAATGCTATGGGACTAGGTAACAATTACAGGAAAAGATCTGTAAGAAATACAAACACATGGAGGCTAAACAACACACTACTTAATAACCAAGAGATCACTGAAGAAATCAAAGAGGAAATAAAAAAATACCTAAAAATAAATGACAATGAAAACACAGTGACCCAAAACCTATGAGATGCAGCAAAAGCAGTTCTAAGAGGGAAGTTTATAGCTATACAAGCCTACCTTAAGGAACAGGAAACATCTCAAATAAACAACCTAACCTTACACCTAAAGCAATTAGAGAAAGAAGAACAAAAACCCCCCAAAGTTAGCAGAAGGAAAGAAATCATAAAGATCAGATTAGAAATAAATGAAGAAGAAATGAAGGAAACGATAGCAAAGATCAATAAAACTAAAAGCTGGTTCTTTGAGAAGATAAACAAAATTGATAAACCATTACCCAGACTTATCAAGAAAAAAAGGGAGAAGACTGAAATCAATAGAATTAGAAATGAAAAAGGAGAAGTAACAACTGACACTGCAAAAATACAAAGGATCATGAGAGATCACTACAAGCAACTCTATGCCAATAAAATGGACAACCTGGAAGAAATGGACAATTTCTTACAAATGCACAACCTTCTGAGACTGAACCAGGAAGAAATAGAAAATATGGACAGACCAATCACAAGCACTGAAATTGAAACTGTGATTAAAAATTTTCCAACAAACAAAAGCCCAGGACCAGATGGCTTCACAGGTGAATTCTATCAAAAATTTAGAGAAGAGCTAACACCTATCCTTCTCAAACATTTCCAAAATATAGCAGAGGGAGGAACACTCCCAAACTCATTCTACGAGGCCACACACTCTGATACCAAAACCAGACAAAGATGTCACAAACAAAGAAAACTACAGGCCAATATCACTGATGAACATAGATGCAAAAATCCTCAACGAAATACTAGCAAACAGAATCCAACAGCACATTAAAAGAATCATACACTATGATCAAGTAGGGCTTATCCCAGGAATGCAAGGATTCTTCAATATATGCAAATCAATCAACATGATACACCATATTAATTAATTGAAGGAGAAAAACCATATGATCATCTCAATAGAACTAGAGAAAGCTTTCGACAAAATTCAACACCCATTTATGACAAAAACCCTCCAGAAAGTAGGCATAGAGGGAACTTTCCTCAACATAATAAAGGCCATATATGACAAACCCACAGCTAACATCATCCACAATGGTGAAAAACTGAAAGCATTTCCACTAAGATCAGGAACAAGACAGGATTGCCCACTGTCACCACTATTATTCAACATAGTTTTGGAAGTTTTAGCCACAGCAATCAGAGAAAAAAAAGAAATAAAAGGAATCCAAATTGGAAAAGAAGAAGTAAAGCTGGCACTGCTTGCAGATGACATGATACTACACATAGAAAATCCTAAAGATGCTACCAGAAAACTACTAGAGCTAATCAATGAATTTGGTAAAGTAGCAGGATACAAAATTAGTGCACAGAAATCTCTTGCATTCCTATACACTAATTATGAAAAATCTGAAAGTGAAATTAAGAACACAATCCCATTTACCATTGCAAAAAAAAGAATAAAATATCTAGGAATAAACCTACCTAAGGAGACAAAAGACCTGTATGCAGAAAATTATAAGACACTGATGAAAGAAATTAAAGATGATACAAATAGATGGAGAGATATACCATGTTCTTGGATTGGAAAAATCAACATTGTGAAAATGACTCTACTACGCAAAGCAATCTACAGATTCAATGCAATCCCTATCAAACTACCAAGGGCATTTTTCACAGATCTAGAACAAAAAATTTCACAGTTTGTATATGGAAACACAAAAGACCCCGAATAGCCAAAGCAACCTTGAGAAAGAAAAATAGAGCTGGAGGAATCAGGCTCCCTGACTTCAGACTATACTACAAAGCTACAGTAATCAAGACAGTATGGTACTGGCACAAAAACAGAAATATCGATAAATGGAACAGGATAGAAAGCCCAGAGATAAACCCACGCACATATGGTCACCTTATCTTTAATAAAGGAGGCAAGAATATACAGTGGAGAAAAGACAGCCTCTTCAATAAGTGGTGCTGGGAAAACTGGACAGCTACATGTAAAAGAATGAAATTAGAACACTCCCTAACACCATACACAAAAATAAACTCAAAATGGATTAAAGACCTAAATGTAAGGCCAGACACCATCAAACTCGTAGAGGAAAACATAGGCAGAGCACTCTATGACATAAATCACAGCAAGATCCTTTATGACCCACCTCCTAGAGAAATGGAAATAAAAACAAAAATAAACAAATGGTGCCTAATGAAACCTAAAAGCTTTTGCACAGAAAAGGAAACCATAAACAAGACGAAAAGACAACCCTCAGAATGGGAGAAAATATTTGCAAATGAAGCAATTGACAAAGGATTAATCTCCAAAACATACAAGCAACTCATGCAGCTCAATATCAAAAAAAAAACAAACAACCCAATCCATAAATTGGCAGAAGACCTAAATAGACATTTCTCCAAAGAAGATATACAGATTGCCAACAAACACATAAAAGAATGGTCAACATCATTAATCATTAGAGAAATGCAAATCAAAACTACAATGAGATATCATCTCACACCGGTCAGGATGGCCATCATCAAAAAATCTACAAACAATAAATGCTGGAGAGGGTGTGGAGAAAAGGGAACCCTCTTGCACTGTTGGTGGGAATGAAAATTGATACAGCCACTATGGAGAACAGTATGGAGGTTCCTTAAAAAACTAAAAATAGAACTACCATACAACCCAGCAATCCCACTACTGGGCAGATACCCTGAGAAAACCATAATTCAAAAGGAGTCATGTACCAAAATGTTCATTGCAGCTCTATTTACAGTAGCCAGGACACGGAAGCAACCTAAGTGTCCATCAGCAGATGAATGCATAAAGAAGATGTGGCACGTATATACAATGGAATATTACTCAGCCATAAAAAGGAATGAAATTGAGTTATTTGTAGTGAGGCGGATGGACCTAGAGACTGTCATACAGAGTGAAGTAAGTCAGAAAGAGAAAAACAAATACCGTATGCTAACACATATATATGGAATCTAAAAAAAAAATGGTCAGAAGAACCTAGGGGCAAGATGGGAATAAAGATGCAGAACTGCTAGAGAATGAACTTGAGGATACGGGGAGGGGGAAGGGTAAGCTGGGACAAAGTGAGAGCGTGGCATGGACATATATACACTACCAAACGTAAAATAGATAGCTAGTGGGAAGCAGCTGCATAGCACAGAGAGATCAGCTCGGTGTTTTGTGACCACCTAGAGTGGTGGGATAGGGAGGGTGGGAGGGAGGGAGATGCAAGAGGGAAGAGATATGGGGACATATGTATATGTATAACTGATTCACTTTGTTATAAAGCAGAAACTGACACACCACTGTAAAGCTATTATACTCTAATAAAGATGTTAAAAAAAAAAAAGACTCCACGCTTCCATAGCATGAAGCACAGTTTCGATCCCTGGTCGGGGAACTAAGATCCCACATTGCTCGCCGTGCAGCCCCCCAAAATAAATAATAAATTAATTAAAAAAAAAAAAAAGATCCACAGGCAATCGATAAGTCACTTTTGAGAACATTTTGGTTCCTCATTGAGATCTCCCATTCCTGAACTACGTGCTGTTAACACAGCTCTCTTATTCTAGATGCATTCTAATAGCCAACTGTATAATGATCTAATCTAGCTCTTACCCAGAATATGGGATTCTGATGTAACTAGAATTATTGGTCTAGAAGAAATGAGGTGTGTGTGTGTGTGTGTGTGTGTGTGTGTGTGTTGAGAGAGAAAGAGGGAGAGAGAGATAAGAAGGGAAGTTGTAATAAAGTTATAAAGGGTCCTAGATGCTAGCCAGGGGTTTACATTTTATTCTTTGGGCAACAGAGAACCATCAAAAGCTGTTAAGCAGGCAAGCGATATAAGTAGAGTTATATATTTTACGACGATAACGCACGGAAGCATGGAGGATGGAGTGGAGGATGTGCCTCCCCACACTGCTATCTCCATTGTCCACTGGGTCTTATATCAATATTAAGCATTACTACAGGGAGTAGCATTGGCTACCTTACCTTCTTGTTAGATTTGAGGAACAGCAAATATTTAGGACTTATAGGATCTATCTATTCTCCAGCATCAACGTCCACAAGTATCCAACCCAGATCTTCAGAATAATATAGTACTCGTTCTCTTTTCATGAGAGGAAATAACAAACACTTTTTGCATTTCAATCCTAAAGAGATTATTTCTCAGTGATAAACCAGATGTTCACCATTTCTAATAGTGAATTCCTTGGGATCTGATGCACCACTGAAACAATTGTTTGCTTCTTAAGTATACTTTTTAAACATATCATTTTAAGACTAAAAGTATAGGTAGGGACTTCCAAGGTCGCCGGCGTTCCGGAGCCCAGACGCAGCCTCTGAGTCGCCCAACACCTTCTTTTCGGTCAGCTGCGTGAGGGTCTTGCCGGGGCATGTCGTCCGTGCCGCTCGGCCCGTTGTACGCCTGTGCGCTCGCCCCGCCGGCCGGCCTGCGGAGCTCCCGCCCGTGTCCCCCAGCGGGTCCGGGAGGTCCTGGCACCGCCTCGATGGCGGCTCCGCCGGACGCGCAGACTGGACCGCAGCCCGCACCCCGAGCTGACGGCGTCATGAGGCACCTGCCCTACTTCTGCCGCGGCCAGGTGGTGCGGGGCTTCGGTCACAGCTCCAAGCAACTGGGCATCCCTACAGCTAACTTTCCTAAACAAGTAATAGATAATCTTCCAGCTGATGTATCCACTGGCATTTACCATGGTTGGGTCAGTGTTGGAAGTGGAGACGTCCATAAGATGGTGATGAGCATAGGATGGAACCCATACTACAAGAATATGAAAAAGTCCATGGAAACTCGTATCATGCATACTTTCAAAGAGGACTTCTATGGGGAAGTTCTCAATGTGGCCGTCGTCGGCTACCTCAGACCAGAAAAGAACTTTGATTCTTTAGAGACACTTATTTCAGCAATTCAAGGTGATATTGAGGAAGCTAAGAAACGACTAGATTTACCAGAACATTTGAAACTCAAAGAAGACAATTTCTTCCAGGTTCGTAAAAGCAAAATAATGAATGGCCACTGATGCAAAGGCATCTTATTTATTCATTCACTGTTTTCTAATATTTTACTGCTCATAACTCTACAGCCTCATCCTGGTTATATTTTAAAAATCAAACATTTTCCTACAGCTGTGAATTAAACAGTACAATGTAGTTACCATATTATGTTCCAACTGTTCAATTAAACCCATCATGTTACAGTACTAAAACGGTTCATTTTAAAAATCAAGATTCTTTTTTATGTAATATGCTGATTAAAATGTACACTTGAAAGGTCTTAAGTGTTTTTTAATGGAAATGAAATATATATAAATATGGGTAACAGGCAAGTCACTAGTTTGAGATGAGAACTATAATTCTCATGGTAAAATTTTAGCATGCATGTACTGTGTAGCATGCTCTGCTAATCAGAAGGCTTATAAAAGTAACTATATTAAGCAGAGGTTTGACAGTTTATTACAAACCTAAGGGGAAAAATCCAGACTTCGTATTTTTGATATTTTGTGCATTTATATATTATTATAGACATAAAGACTTGTGAAATTTCATTTCAATTAGTCATTTCCTTTAAGGGCTCAAATCATTGTACTGGGTTCCATTTTTGTTACAGCTGCCTCAGTTCTAATTGGTCTAGACTCTCTCCCTATTAGTTTTTTTGTTTTTCTTTTAAAACAGTAAAATGAGTGTTTTTCGAATCTCTAGGTCTCATTTTTGTGTTGTATAACACTTCCCTCTTTAAGCGTAGATATTCTTCAACATTTTTCTTAACCTTTGTTTTCTGTAAACAATTGTGTGTCAGTTTTTCCATTTAGAATATCCAACTCTGCATTTACAAAATGTAGAGTTTCATCTGCGTCTGTATCTGCCATCCCATCCCTTCACTATATGAAGAGTGATTAAGTGCATATCTTTTGCATTTTAGAAAAAACACCCAAAACTTCATCTGTAGGTTTCCCCAAAGTTTAAATGAACACCTAGCAGTTCATTTATATATACCAGTTTCTTAAACAACACAAAATACTTGTTTCCCCCCTAGGGAAACTAGTTAAGAGCCAACTAAACTATGAAATACAAAGTTATTTGTTTTTAATGTAATTGTATGTTCGTGAGCAAATGCAAACTGTTGTAGCTGTGTGTGCACAATGTAATTTAAGGCTAAAGAGTGCTATCTAGAAGGTAATTTTAAAGATAACTCATTATAAAACCATTTTCCCCTAATCTGCATAAATGAGAGAACTGATTTTAACAAAACTGTTTATATAATATTTAGAAAAACATCTAAAGCTAATGTTGGAGAAGGGGGAAGCAGGAATAAATTCAGTTGGATTGTTTTGATTTTTTGGTGTATGAATTTACGGCAAACAATGTAGTATGTGTCTTTTTCATTTCTTATTTATAGAAATACTTAGAAAATGTAATTTCATGTTAGAAATCCTATACTTGAAAGAAGCCCCAATTATCAGTGGTTCTATGAAACAAAGTTAAAAACAAACATGGAAGGTGTAAAAAAGATGTGTTTCTTTGAGTAGCTTGCGACTGATTATATCCTCATTAAGTGTGAAAATTCTTTGATATTGTCACCTTACATTTTGTTAAATAACTATTGTTTTTGAAAAACCTATAGTGTGTGGTTTAGGACTTAGTTAATAGTGTCTACAATTTTTTAATTTTTATATTAAGTGTTTATATATTATAAGAAATGGCAGTAGGGCCACTTTTGATTAGTCAGTGTTTTCAGGCCTTGAAATAAATCTTGATCAAGTGAAAAAAAAAAGTATAGGTAAGATATTTACGGGACACATATAAGAAAAACAGCTGCAACTGGGGGGTGGGCAGAGGTATGAAATGCAAAGAGAATTGAAGGACTTAAAAAGTGCTCCTCGTCTTTTATTTAGGCTCAGAAGTCCTCTGATGCACCCAAACAGTGGATACTGGTCAGCCAGGCGAAGTCTGAGAGGAAAAGAACCGAAAGAAAGGCATCTGCTGTTTCCTAGGTGACAGGGTTCTTTAAGGCACTCTGTTTGTCAAGGACTAACTTAGAGAAATTATTTTCCTAGTACTCAAAACACTGTGGGCAAGAGAACAGCCCCAAAAGAGCACTCAGAAGACAAGGAGACCAGTATTGGTACACAGGGCACCAGCGAGATGAAAGGGTCATGGGAGGTCAGATACAAACATGTGGTCAACAAGAGCCAAGGAGAGGAGGGGCGGATGAAGTCAGTGCCCTGCAGCTCAGGCTGCCTCTTAATGGAGGGACCAGAGAACCAAACCCTCTACCCATCCAGCTGGGAGGACATGTTCTTAGAGCAGTGGTCTCCAAACAGGGTGACACGCCCCAGGGAGTGGGCAAGGTGAACCACTGGGGCTTGGGAAGAAATTAGAATCTCTAGTTATATTTATTTTTTATCTTTAAAAGACAAGGAATTAAGTTTTGCTGAAGCTTAAAACATAGACTGATGTCGGCCCCTCACTCTGCCAGCACATCAGAAGGCCCCATGTCCAGTTAGTATGCAAGCCAGAAAATAGCTGTTGGATACTGTGAAAGGAAGTGTTTCGTTCCTTTCAGCATACTGAGACGTACTGTGTTATTTTAATATTTCCAGGCACATGGATTTATGTGTTACATTATGTAGTTTTTACTAAATCAACCCTCTTAAAATGGAAAAGTGGCTTAAAAAGATCCTTGCAAAGAAACAGTAGCACAAAGATAATTCGAATAATGCAAACACAAGCGAGCAACAACAGCCGATATACTTCTGCTACGGGTAAAAGCTATTCATCAGCCATACGACAAGGAAAAAGAACAGTGAGATTTGCCAGCAAGTGAGCCGCCAAACTTGAAATGATCACAAAGATATTTTGTATCAGGGATCTGTGCTCATCATAGTAATGATGAACCTCACTCTTCAATATATATTGAAAAGTGTGAAGCCACTGTGGTTAGCAGAAGATATGGGTCCAGAAGATGAAGACAAACCTCCATAATGTTTTCAGTAATATTTAATATCATGAATTACTAACTAATATACTTTAAACAATGTTCCCTAAATATAATCCTAAATGTTTGTCTTTTTTCTTCCTTAATAGTAAAAACCCAAAATGTAGCATACCATGTAGAAAACACTTGTTCTTCCTGCCATGGAAATATGGATGAAGTACTCATAAAACAATTTAGGGGTAAAAATATCTGGGCACATTTGTCAAGATATACTATTGGATACCATGTAGAAAGCACTGCTGGGACTTCCCTGGTGGTCCAGTGGTTAAGACTCTGCACTTCCACTGCCAGGGTGCCTGGGCTCGATCCCTGGTCAGGGAACTAGATCCCACATGCATGCCGTAACTAAGAGTTTGCATGCCACAACTAAGGAGCCCGTGTGCCACAACTAAGAAGCTGGCGAGCCACAACTAAGGAGCCCAGAAGCTGCAACTAAGGAGCCCAGATGCGACAACTAAGGAGACTGCCTGCTTGGACTAAGACCTGGTGCAACCAAATAAATAAACCCTAAAAAAAAAAAAAAAAAAAGATGAATTTTGCACGTTTTTTTTACACAAAGGTTGAGTGTTCAAAACTTTTTGACTTTTCTATGATTATAAATGGCCACCAGTAAATTGCTACCTAAGCAAATATCTCCCTGCATTCCACACCTCCACACCAAATACATCTCATTTGAATCCTCAGGGTAAAAGTCATATATCATCTAAGACACAGAAAGGAGCTTTTTTCAGAAAGAAACATGATATGGAGAGAGCATACTGAAAACGGTTATTTGGAAATATTTTCATCATTATATGATTATGTTGCGATAAACTATGCTTGACACCTATAAACACTTTCGTATCTGCACAACTAAAAAACTTGGAAGCAGAATTTTTCTAACTCAGTTTAAAATCTTTCAAGGAGTTTCAATAAGTTTAAAACCCATTTACTAACAAAGTAAATGTGCAGCATCTTCTGATTAATATGCAAGAATAATCCACCTCAAGAATATGGATACTTACTCGCCCAATTTCAACTTTTTAAAAAATTTGCAAAACTGACAGAACTGCAAATTTTAGTGTAAGGGCAGTACTGCTTCCATGTGGATCTGCTTATTTCTGGAAGGCATCTTTTTCAGCTATAGAAGCCCTTAAAACCAAATACTAAAATAAACTGAAATTAGAACCAGACTTTTGAATCATTCAAAAGGGGTTAAAATAAGGTTTTCAAAAATAGTAAATTTCCAAAAAACGTCCATCACGTTGCTCTCCTTTATAGAAATTGAGTACATTATATTATAAATTATAGATATAACTGTTTCAATGATCTCATCTTTTCCTTTTATGTATATGTTTCCTAACATACATAATTATTATTTAAAAAGAAATTTGCCACTTATTTTTTTAACATCTTTATTGGAGTATAATTGCTTTATAATGGTGTGTTAGTATCTGCTGTATAACAAAGTGAATCATCTATACATATACATATGTCCCCATATCTCCTCCCTCTTCTGCCTCCCTCCCACTCTCCCTATCCCACCCCTCTAGGTGGTCACAGAGCACCGAGCTGATCTCCCTCTACTATTGCCCATCTCTGGAGCTTGCTTAGGTGGTGTTCTGCCTTCTGTGGGCACACTGGGATGGAATCCCCTCTCCTCATGCACGCCGAAACCAAGGTCTTTCCCCTCTCTGGCAGTTCCAAACTTTTTCCCCGGACTCTCTCCCAGCTAGCTGTGGCGCACTAGCCCCCATCAGGCTGTGTTCATGCAGCCAACCCCAGTCCTCTCCCTGGGATCCACCAAAGCCCGAGCCTCAGCTCCCAGCCCCACCCATCCCGGCGGCTGAGCAGACAAGCCTCTCGGGCTGGTGAGTGCTGGTCGGCACTGATCCTCTGTGCGGGAATCTCTCCGCTTTGCCCTCCGCACCCCTGTTGCTGTGCTCTCCTCCGCGGCTCCGAAGCTTCCCCACTCCGCCACCCGCAGTCTCCACCCGCGAAGGGGCTTCCTAGTGTGTGGAAACCTTTCTTCCTTCACAGCTCCCTCCCACTGGTGCAGGTCTTGTCCCTATCCTTTTGTCTCTGTTTTTTTTCTTTTGCTCTACCCAGGTATGCGGGGATTTTCTTGCCTTTTGGGAAGTCTGATGTCTTCTGCTAGCGTTCAGTAGTTGTTCTGTAGTTGTTTCGCATGTAGATGTATTTTTGATGTATTTATGAGGAGGAAGGTGATCTCCACATCTCAGTCCTCCGCCATTTTGAACATCTCTCCACTTATTTTTAAGCACATAAATAAACATATATTTGGGGCAGGGGCTTGCAGGGATTAGAGATCACCCTTACAGGGCAGGAGGCCTAAGACTGCCTGGACATAGGAGGAAAGATGACCATAAAGATGCAAAGAAGAAATGTATTAACAAGGCCAAACAGCACAGATAATGCAACACACACATATGGACTGGCCAAGGAAAGAATTGCAACTGCAGTAATAGAAAATGTGTTCCAGAATAATCCAACCCTGAGATGATGCTGAAAGGAGAGAATCTCAGCAGCAAATAGCAACCAACGTAAAAACCGGCAAGGTCACCACGCACTCAGGGCAACAAACACATTGGTTCATTCCTTCATCAAGGATTTATAGGCCATTTATTTTGTGCTAGGGACTGTGATAGGTACTGGAGTAAACCATGAACTTGGCAGAAAATCTTCCTTTGAGGAGGTGACAGGCAAGTGCAGGAAATAAGCATATTAACTTATGACTAAATGCAATGTGATTAACTGAATTTCAATGATCTCTGAAAGGAAAAAAAAACAAAAAAAGAACTGGGACCAGAAACCAATAAGCTTCTGCACCATGTCACCCACGCCTAGACATAAGACACAGTTATCCATCTCTTACTTAGTAGAATTCTGTAATTAGTGTACTGTTCTTGCTGATATCTGTTAGATGAACTGAAGTTAATGGTTTACTTTCTGGTTAAATTAAGCACAGTTCTATAGAATAGGCAATTATAGACATACATATATTTCCAATTCTCCAATAATAAGGATTGTTCTGTTCAGATCTTGTTGCTCTTTCTCTTCTGCCTGGACTGTCCCCTCACCTAAGACTATCATCATTCTTCTTTCATGTTGGCTTTCTTCCTGAATTTGAGGCCTTGTTCTCAGCCTCTGCTTGTGTCATCATCACCTGCACCGTCAGGGCTTTTTCCCCTTTCCTATACCCTCTGCGCAATGACCACTGCCCATTAATGGTCACTAGGGAAAGGTCCTCTTTCCAGGCAAGGGACCCTGCAGCCCTCGGGCTTTCCTGAATCTCAGCCCCTGGGTCTTCTGGCCAGTTGATTTTGTGTTCTGTTTGCACTTGAGGAGCTGGGGAGGGGCTTTTCAATGCTCTCCTTTGCCAGAAGAACAACACAGATTAAGTTCTAACGTGTTAAAGTTCTAAAGTTTCCAGACCTGCAGCCGTCCAGGAATTTTACTGTTTAACCACTTCAGACCAACAGCCATGTCAGCTATGTTAACTTTCACCTTAACCTTATGGTTGAAGTTACCCTTAAGATTTCTCACCAGTACGGTAATGTGGTTTCACAGCTTGTAGAAATTCTGTCTCCCTCCCATTTCTCACTGTATATACTGTATATACTATATTGTGAACATTTGATTTTAGCCCAATTGACATTTTTTAAGTGTTTTTACTTTTGTGCATAAAACACCAAATCATATGGTATTATGAACAGGGATGCGTGTTTCAAATGAAACACATCTGAATGTATTCAACTAACTCATTCAAAAAAAATTCTCATTGTCATACTAGATAGTCAAAATCTGAATCAGCACTTCTCCATTCAGACTGGCCACACGTCCAGAGTTCAACGGCCACATGTAGCGCTTATGCTGGCCAGTTCTAGAAAACCGATTTGTTCATGTGGATGAGAGTATCAAATGAGGAGAGACACAGGTCACTAAATAAATTGTTTCTTCACAAACTAGAAAATATGTTTCTGGAGTCGAAAACAATGCCGAAGAAGTAAAGTCTTTCCTCCAAACTAACAAGTATTAATTTCTAGCCTAAATATTTTATGTCAATATAAATTACAATTAGCAATCTAATAAATTCTAGTACCTTGGATTTTTTAAAAAATTATCTAACACCCACCATTGTCTGTGTGTCTACCGAAAGGGGGAAGTATAAAGATTATCCCTGTTCTTTGGCACTCACAGTCTGGTGAAAGGGTAGACATGGCCATTAATATTTGACATGTAGGACAATGTGATAAGGAGGACAATGACCAGGGCCACTTAAACAAGTGAAGGAACACAGGAAGACTTCACAGAAGAGGTGACATTGGAGCTGAGTCTTGAAGGATAAACAGGAGTCTTCCAAATGAACAAAAGAGGAAAGAGCACTGCAGCCAGAGGAAAAGCACACTTACAAGGCACAAAGGGCAGAAGCAGCTGGCAGTGTTTAGGGAGCTATGTGAACGTTTGCATAAGTTGTACAGAAGAAGAATACGGGGAGAAGAGAGGCTAGAAAGAGACAAGTAGGGGTCCTTCATGATCAGGTTCATGTTTGATAAGATCACTTTGACTGTAGTTTGAGAAATAAAATGAAGAGGACCAGACTGAAGGCAAGGAAGCCACGGCTGAGGCTCTTGACCAGTTCAGCTTAGAGATGCTGAGAGACTGGACAAAAGGCACGACAGGGCGAGGAGAGAAGGGAACAGATATAAGAGGGTTTCCAGAAGCAGAATCAACAGGACCTGGTGAGAGGCAGGATGTGGGGTGTGAGTGAGAGAGCAGGACCCAGGAAGCCCCCTGGGTCTCTGGTTATAACCAAATCTTCCCCCCACAAAATTCCCTTTCCCTGGCTGTGATGGCATCTGCCAACCTTCAGCCCAAATTTCATTTCCAAAGCAGATACCACCCATAAACAGAAATAATTTCTAACTTACAGGATATCAGATCTTAAACTCGTAAGTGACTGACACACAGAACAGCAGAGATGGAAACAAATCGGCCGAAATTAAAATATTTAAATCAGAAAAGGTTTCAGTCCTTTAACCATCAAAAGCTCCAAACTGTCAGACATAAAATTTCAGGTTGAGCAAGTGAAGCCATGATGAAAGGGTATAATATTCTTGGAGAACTTTGTACACAAAGCAAACACCAATAAATCATTTAATAATTGCTGAATCTCCATATGCATGCCAGACTGACCCAGGCCCATGACAGGACTTAATGAAAGTGTCCACTACAGATGAGTTTATTTTCCCCTCACGCTCTGAGTTGGAGCATAGTGCCTCATAAATATTTAACTTAAACTATAAAACAGAAAGATCAACCTGGGACAGAAAGTTAAGCTGAAAATCATATGGTGATAGCCTCCGTTTTAATTAATGTTCTATTACACACACTGCTATTGATTTTTTAAAATGGTTTCATGTTCGGTATCTAACAATTACACTGAAAACACTACAGCCCATATTCACATTATTGTGCAATTTCCACTAATTTCTGACAAGGGAAAATACACGTTTGGCTTTTCTCTGGCACAAAACCTTGATTATTTGGCTGTGGTCATCAGGATTTAAGATGCTGAGGAGTCTTCGTAAAGCACTTCATCTACCTTCATGTCATTTTCATCCACAGGGACCTGAAGGCAAATCTGCTCTTTGAAAGCCAAGGCCAGGGTGTAGGGCCTCACATCCTGGGACTGCAGACAGCGCTTCAGGTAGGCATCGTAGTAGCCCTTGCCCCGCCCCAAACGGTTGCCGTGTTTGTCAAACCCAAGACCCGGCATGAAGATGAGATCAAGTCCCCCTGCGGAAATGAGGAATAAAGTTACGAAGGTTAATGGTGTCTGGAAAAGACTGATCGCTTCCAGATCTGGTTTTTGTTTTTTAATGACATCATTTTCTCTGATTTTTAAAGAAATACATGATCACTCTAGAAAAATCCTAACAGTAAAGAGCTGGACAAAGAAAGCAGTAAAAATTACTCAGCAACTAGTAAGTCCGTCATCCATCCCCTAGCCGTTCTTTCATCTATACCTGTACAGAAATGCCAGATTCCCAGGCCCCGTCCACACCTAGTTAAAGAGAATCTCCAGGGATAGGGCCTAAGAATTCCTTTTTCTCTAATTTTCTTTCTTTAAGCATACAGCTGACCCTACATACTGTCCCAGGACACTGACAACTGAAGGAGTGGGAGAGGGTCAGAAAGAAGCCAGAAAGGACGGAGCTATTCTCAAAGTCGATGAGCAGAAGGAGGGTTAGCTGTTAAGAGGACCAAGCTTACCCTCTTCATTTCCCCTCTTACTGGAGAGGGAAGGCCGGGTTGTCCTGCTTCCCTGGATTCATGTGAGAGCAACCTTCGACCCACTCAGGAACATTCCAAAGGTACAAGATGGGGACCCATAATTGGTCCTCTGGCTGGAACTCTCCCAGGGAACACAGGGACCAGAACTGGCCATGGCATCATCAGGGCAGAGCTGGCTGCTGGGGCTCAAGGTAGAAGGCAGGGTCTTGAAAGTTATAAAAAGCTGACCACAGTGAAAGGTGTGATGAATGCTATAAAGGTCACGAGGATGTCCATGGATTTTGTGAGGTCCAGGGAATGGTCCTCCAGCCCCTTGCAGGGAGCATGACGCACCAGCACTACTCAAGAGGCACATCGCTTACGCAACGCAGCAGTCTGTCTGGAGCCTTCCTGTACTGAGCCTTGGCCTTTTGAGGGCTGTCCTGGGGGCTTCTGGGTGACCTACAGCTTAGCAAGGGCTAACCACTCATACAGCATTGCTGGCAAGCACATACCAGGGTTGGAAGCCATGAATTCTCTGGAACAGAGTGTTCAGAGTAGAGGTATTCAGACTGCCAGCTAGGCTGGCCCCCACTGTAGCAGCTGTTACGACTCCCTGCAGAGCCATGAGGTGAACTCAGCTTCTCTCCGGCTCCCAGCACACACCTGTAATCCCTTGCCTGCAAAAACCTGGCAGAGCATGCCTCAGATTACAGTCCTGACCTTCTCATGGAAACCTGCTCACCTACTCCAATCCCAACTTGCTAAGAGGCCCTGGTCTCTGACTTTCATCTTTCCTCCCTGTCTCTGCCCTGCTCATCTCTCTTGGGAATAATGGTGGCTTGTGCACTTGACTTTGCTTCCTCCAAGTCCTCCTGCTGTTGCCAGAGCACTCTTGGGCTTAAAGTTCAGCTCCGTCATTATACCCAGAACACACACGCACACAGCTTTTCCTAGGTTTCTTGCGTCTTTACAGTGTGGCAAAGGTGCTTTGTAAAGTCCTCTGGGGGATACACAGATACATCCCTGCCCTTCAGGAGACGGAGTTCAGTTAACATAAAAAATGCACACGCGTAACATCCATTCCAACGTAAGGCAGCAGTGCCTGCCAATTGCCCAAAAAGTGTTAGGGACAAGAAGTCCTAGAGACTTCAGCAGAGGGACAGCGACATGGCTGGGTGGTCAGGGAAGGATCCATGGGCAACTTTGGCTTGACCTAGGTTTTTAAGAATGTGCCAGAGTTGGATCTGAGTGTATTTCAGAAACCAAGGGAAGGGGCTTCCCTGGTGGCACAGTGGTTGAGAGTCCTCCTGCCAAATAGGGGACACGGGTTCGTGACCCAGTCCGGGAAGATCCCACATGCCGTGGAGCGGCTGGGCCCGTGAGCCATGGCCGCTGAGCCGGCGCGTCCGGAGCCTGTGCTCCACAACGGGAGAGGCCACAACAGTGAGAGGTCCACATACCGCAAAAAAAAAAAAAAAAAAAAAGAAAAAGAAAGAAACCAAGGGAAGAATGGCAGGAGCAGAGTGATGAGGAGGGAATAGGGCAGAAGGACCAGGCTGAGGAGTAGCAGAGGCATGTGGAGTTCATCAGGTAGGGGCAAAAAGATTTAGGAGATAAAGGCAAAGAGACCCCTACAACCCAAAAACAAGTAACCCAATTAAAAAAATGGATGAAAGACTTGAATAGACATTTATGCAAAGAAGACCAAAAAATGACCAAAAAGTATATGAAAAGATGCTCAACATCATTAAATAATCAGAGAAATGCAAGTTAACACCTCCATGAGACATCACCTCACACCTGTTAAGACAGCCATATTTTTAAAAAACAGAAGTGAGGTGAGGATGTGGAGAAATTGGAACATTTGTGCATTGTTGCTGGGAATATAAAAAGATGCAGCTGCCGTAGAAAACAGTATGGAGATTCCTCAAAAAACTAAAAATAGATCTCCCATATGATCCAGCAATCACGTCTCTGAGTATTCACCCAAAAGAACTGAAGTCAGGGTATTGAAGAGATCCTTGTACTCCCATGTTCACTACAGCATTATTCACAATAGCCAAGAGTTGTTAATAACCTAAATGTCCATCAACAGATAACTGGATAGACAAAATGTGGTACATACAATGCAATATTATTCAACCATGCAAAAAAAGGAAAATCTGTCATACGCTACAACGTAGAAGTACCTTGAGGACATTAGGTGAAGCAAACTAAGCCAGTTGCAGAAGGACAAATACTGCATGATTCCACTTACAGAAGGTATCGAAAGGAGCCAAACTCATAGAAGCAGAAAGTAAAATGGTGGTTGCCAGGGGCTGGCGGAAGAGGTAAATGAAGAGTTAAATCTACTGTACAACATTAACAAGCCTGTACCATATATTTTAAAATCTGTTAAGAGGGTGGATCTCATGTTATGTGTTATTTACCATAATTTTTTTTTAAGGCAAAGGTAACAAAAGGACAGCCAGGAAAATTTCCATCAGAGTCAACACACAAGAAAAAGAAGGTAGAACTTCAGAGCATTCACCTGTGGGCAGTTGGCAGACGAGAATGAAGGAAGGAAACAGAAAGCTATGAAAACAATGTTCTCAAATCCCTCGCGTTAGAATTAATGCTGCCCCCTCTATTCCTGCTCCTCTCTGTACTCCGATTATAGCTCTCCTGGAAGTCTACCTTGTACTACAGCTGTTTGTATATGTCTCTGGCTGCCCTACCAGATCGAAAATTTCCTTGAGGACCATAATTTTTTCCAAGTCATCCTCCATGCTTGAATTTTAATAGAATTCTAGGCCAACCTGAAAGATGAGTATATATATATATATAAATGATTTTCTTTTATGTGGACCATTTTAAAGTCTTTATTGAATTTGTTACAATACTGCTTCTGTTTTATGTTTTTTTTGGTTTTTTGGCCATGAGGCATGTGGGATCTTAGCTCCCCAACCAGGGAGTAAGGTGAGGACAAGACAATATCATTAGATTCAGCAACAAGGGAATCAGCAGGGCAAGGATACTTTAAGTGGGGAGATGGGGACAGATGCTGAGCTGCAGAATCTTCACTGACCAAAAAAAAATGAGGAAAGAGGCTTCTACAAAGGCCTTTATTTATTCTTGAGACTGAAAGTCTGTGCTAGGCACTGAGGATTCAGTTCACCTTCACAAAACATTCTTTTTAACTCTGGCCAAGGAGGCAGCAGCTGGGCCACAGACACCTCTTAGGATGCTCTGAATTCAGACTCCCCATCCTGGGTTCTGCAGAAGAATATAATCAGCTCAGCCAGTGGACTATCTTTGCCCTAATACTAAAGAGAAGGCTGAAAACAGTCAGTGTGAGAGCCCAGCAGTTAAACAGAGCTTTCTAACCCTACTTTCAACATGTCTTGTGCAGAGCCTTCTATTTCTTTCTCCTCTCTCTTCTTTCTAAGTCGGGTGTCATGGCCATGTCTCCCACAAAGTCCTCCTCAGGAACTTCATTACTCAGGGACTCCTTCTCCAGGCACCTCTCTGCACTATTGCCAGAGTCCTCAGCTCCACTTGTGATTCCGAAGGTGCCATTTCTCCCAGAAGTCCAACTACTCACCCCACCTCCAGACACTGCCGGTCCCAATCCATCCTAAAACGTGGCCTTCATCATGACTCCCCATGCCCCAGAACTTTTAGTCACTAACGATCTCTTAAAGATAACATCAAACTGGGTATGCGGAGCCCACTACACTCTCACCCCAGTCACCTCTCCAACAGTACCTCCCGTTCAGTTATACTTGGGAGATCCTAGTTAAATGGATGGACTTGTTATCCCACAAGCCCACCCCCCAACTTCCCGCTTTTGCTCTTGTGACGCTATTTTCCATGCCTGTAAGATCCTTCTAATCTTTTTATTAATTTGTCTAATCACAACAGTCCTAACAAACCTCAGTGAAACCTCCATCTAGTCCTCCCTGCCCATGCAGTTCAGTGTGACCAGCTCTTATCCTACACTGCGAGGTGCCCATGGTCCATTAAGTAGGATGAATCCTTTCCCCTACCTCTGGGAGCAGAATTGTTGTGCTTCCCCAGAGAGATGCTGAGCTCAGTTATATTTACTATGAAGGGAAGAATGAAAGTAAAAGACAGAATGAGATGTCTTGTGACCATATTTATCTTAGTTCCCTGACTATATTCAAGAAGTTACCAATCCCAGGGCTTCCCTGGTGGCACAGTGGTTAAGAATCCGCCTGCCAGTGCAGGGGACACGGGTTCAAGCCCTGGTCTGGGAAGATCCCACATGCCGTGGAGCAACTAAGCCCGTACGCCACAACTACTGAGCCTGCGCTCTAGAGCCCAAGAGCCACAACTACTGAGCCCATGTGCTGCAACTACTGAAGCCCATGCACCTAGAGCTCATGCTCCGCAACAAGAGAAGCCACCGCAATGAGAAGACCACGCACCACAAAAAAGAGTAGCCACCACTCACCGCAACTAGAGAAAGCCTGCGTGTAGCAACGAAGACCCAGTGCACCAAAAAATAAATAAAGTAA